CAAAGAAGTAAAAACAACGAACTCTTAACGTTATCTATACGCATGCATCATATGTTCTTGTTTACCTGTTAAAGATGCAATTGTTCGTTTTTTGATGCGCTATTTAGCTGACGGATAAAGAAGTGAAATATGTAGATATTGTGATGCCGAAATATTTTAGTAAAAACAAAACTATAAACATATAACTGACTAAAGTTTTATTTATGGAATACTAGCAAGAGTATATTAGTACATGTTCATAGAACGATGAGATCATTAAAGTTAGAATCGTTTGGTATTAGATTTTTTTGATTTTTCTAGAAAATAATACTGTGATCAAATGGAATGAAAAATTTGTATTGAATACATTTGCGTCAAGTTGTTGAATATTTCATTAATAAGGACCTTGATTTCGTATGATAAAGAAAGAAAAATATAAATGAATGGCATGACATGAATTAGTTTAGTCATTATGTTTTTTTTTCCATTTATAGACATTTTTACACTTTTATAATCAAAACATATGTAATATCTTATGTAAGGTTAAGTTTTAATTATTAAATAAAAGAGAAGAAATTTGAATAGAAGCAGAAAACTCTTATTTCTCTATCGTAACAAGAAATGTGAAATAAATGAAATCCGACCAGTATTCATTATATTTATGCTATCTTATAAGATGATATCATCGTCTATTAATAAAACAAGAAAATATTTCGTTTTATTTACAAATAATCTCTAATGCTCTAGATTTGAATTAAAAGCAGAATGATTTTTTTTTCGACAAAATTTGATCAGCGCTGGTGTAGTAAATTTTGTTGTTAGAAAAACAGCATACTGTGATTAATATAATAACTGTTACATGGATACTGATAAGTTGAAATATTCAGTAAAGATTATTGATGCAAGGTGATTCTTATGAGTAACCTTATCACGAAATGAAAAGGATTTTCATACAAGAACAATGAGAATTTGCGTCAAGAGGTAAATGACTAAAAATATCTCGATTATCGTTGTTTTATTAATTATACGCCCAATGTCAAACAGCGATACTTGATTCAACTAATAAACACATTAAATTTGACCCTATAGGAAAGAAGAAGAAGAGAAATAATTTTTTCTGCTATTTTTACTAGTTCAATTGTTAAAGTTTTTAAATAGTACGAGGAAAATAATAAGAAGAAGAAAATAGTCCGTCCAAAGCTGTTCATATATCATATTTTAATATGTTCTTTTTTCTTTCAATCCTCTAATACTCCGATGTTATATTTTTTTAAAAAAGAGAGTATTGTATGATTAACTATCAACCACCTACTCATCTCAGCGAGTGAAATTCAACGCTTATGTTATTATATAAAATTACAACTAATATTTAGTTCGATTACATTCACTTTAGACGATAGTATATACTGATTAGAAATATATATTTTTTTAGAAGAAGAATTTTATCCATCATTTTGAGCGTATATATCAGAGTCACATCGACAATTGAGGTACGTCTTTTCCATAATCACTTGTATACGCACTGTTCAAGTCAACATCTCTTAATAGATCATATTGTTCTGGAGCTACTCATCCATTGATCATTAACTCATAACTTTGACTCTCAAGGCAATTGTTAGAAAAGATATATAATTCTGGATATAAAATCTTTCACAGTGTGCCTCTCCATTTTTCATTAATTTTATTTTCAATCTAAAATATTGAATTTTTTTGTTATTTAGTTATTATGGCGTCAATATTCAATCACATTTCGTTTTGTGCAATGTTAATAATCTCTTTAATTTTATGTTGTCAGGGAAGAAGTATCCATTCTTTAAGCGAATCTGCTGATTATCCATCCTCATTCGCAGCATCAGCCAATTCAAATAATCTCTTATATCCGTCAAGTGATGCATACTTACAAGATTTATATGAAAATCAGCAACATTATCTGCTCGATGATGTCTATACAGGTCCTGTTTTGATCAATCCAAATGTTTTAGCTTATTTGGTGCCACCGGGTAATGTTAATAATGATGTAGCATTACAAAAATACTGGGGAAAATTATATCATGATTTTACAAAATTTAATCAACCACTGAGAACAACGCCAAAAATTATGCCGTTTCAAAAACGAACAATTCCAATTGAATTTCAAAAACAATTATATGCACATGGTGTTGTCGGTAGACGACGTTAAATATTCCACCACAATAATAATTGTTTGTTACATTCATAAAATAGTCTGTTGGAAAAGACATTAGAATATTTTCTTTTTTTGAATTTGTTTGCATAAATTTTATTTGGAAGTGGCTCAAATCAGTCGTTTCATTCATGTCAAATATATAATTTCCTTTCTGTTATTAAAACATGTTTAAAAATATAGAAAAAAGATTTAAAAATAAACAAGTAACTACAGCAACAACGATCTCAATTTAAACGACATGTGCTTATTTCTTCTAGTAGACAATTAATTTACTCCTTTTGGAGGATATTACTGACAGAACACGAAATAATCGCTCACAAATGAACTAAAAACTAAAAACAGACAATATTTGATGCACGCCATGACTCGTAGCAGGAATGCATAGATGGTGAGCTGAAGAACCTCATCTATTTTTGAGTTTAACATTTCGTTAAGGCAAGTGGTTTTGTCGCCTATGTTTCTCCTGACTTGAACAGTATTTTTTTCAGTTTTTGATCGAAGAATGAACAGAAAAATAGTCTTTCAGTGCTTTATATGTCATTTCCGTTTTTTTATTAACTTACCTGTTGTTTTATTCGTATTTAAGATAAGAAAGACTTTTTATTCTACTTGAACGCTTCGGCAAATATTTGATGGGGAACGAAGAAGATAATATCTAAGCCTCACCTATTTTCCAAACTCTTCGCAACTATGGAAGGGATTAGTGTACTAATCCTTTACCGCACACTATATAGCGTGTGGTAAGGTCAAACCAGGCATCGTGACCGATGAAATGGTATCATCAAATGTCATCGTATCATAATTTCCAGATGGGGGACGTAGAGAACAAATTCAGTATGACTGACGACTTTTTCTCCGGAACAAATAAGGAAGAAGTTATCTGATTTCTACTCTTTAGTTGAAAGATCAATATAAGAGAAATTGAAATTAAATAAACGTAGCATGAAACGAGAGGAAACGCATAAAAGGACAATAAATACTAGATGTCATTCACATGAATCAGGACCTGAAAGAGAGAGCATCTGGTATACTATTAGAAAGAATTGTTAAGCAAGAATAGGAAAACCATATAAGCGCATTTGCCCATAGCGTGTTTTAACAAAAACTACTCTCGATCTCAACATAGAGGACACTCTAACCTTTCTTGAATAACTCTTGATAGAAAGTAGCCACACTGTAAAAAAAAGAGTATAAATGGTTTTCGAGCATGTTACTATATGAAACCCTTTTGGGTTTTCGAGACTACCTTTCTATTGGGTTTTCAAACCATCGAAAACGCTTTTCCTAGTCGCATACCCTTTTTCTGCTCGGCCGAATTTTGTCCTCGAATACCCTTCGAAAGGGTTTTCGAAAAAGTATTCAAATTCTCAAATACCCAAAAGAGTTTCATATAGTAACATTTTCGAAAACCTGTGAAAAAGGTTTTCGTGAGTTCTAATACCCTTTCAAAAGCCTTTCTTATTCTGTTTGTAAACTTGTCGAAAAGAAATTCTACATAACCTTTTTTTCCCATAACGCATGATTACTTTTGGATACGGACCGGATTTTTAATCGGTTAACTGGAACCGATCATGATACTTAGGGTTGACCAAAAGTTCGTAGAACGGTGATTCCGTCCTCCTCTTCTCACACCATGCTCAAAACCTTTGGTCAGCTCTAAGTATATTCTGATAGCGCTTGAATTTCTCTATCGTCCTATATATTTGTCTACTGTCCTGCATTTATCTATTGCAAAAATAACTTGAGTACAAGTATCTATGT